TCTTGGCTGCTGTGTGCTCCCCACCCCCCCCCCCCCCCGCCCCCGCCCCTCCCCGCCCCACCCAGCGGGCGGCCCGGGAGCTCACATTGCTGATGACGGCGAGGTGTGTGAGCCCCGCTAGGATGTGGAACCAGATGCCGATGTCCTGGGCGCGCTCGGCCACCGGGCGCCGGTACTCGCACACGAACTTGCGCGCGTCCAGACGGATCTCCACCCAGTTGTTGAGCAGGGCAAAAAGCGGCGCCAGCGGGCAGGCGGCCACGAAGATGGTGACGAATCCGAACTGCAGCACTGCCGGGCAGGAGTGGCTGCTGTTGGAGCTGGTAAACCTCCCGGGGCCGCCCGTGGCGGGAATGGGGTAGGGACGCCCAGCTCGCCCACCAAAGCACCAGGTCGTTGGTTTCACCCTGTTTCCTCCCCTCCTGTTGTATTCAGTCCGAGGATCACTGCCCACCTTCCTGACTGGCTCCCGGGCTTGGCTGGAGCCCGGATCTACACTGCTCTGATCTTGGTCCTCCTTGGATGGCCTTGACCACCCAGTACACCTGAAGTCAAGGACTCTTAATGTCAGGAAGGAAAGCAAAACCTGCCTCTGGCTTTAGAGCTACGGGCCCCCATTTATCTCCAGAGGGCACTTAAAATCAGCCAGCTTCCTGTAACCCACCCTGATGTTTATCCGCAGAAGGATCCTGCAACTGTAACTGGCTATGCTTTGGTTGCCAGGCAACTCAGTCATGTGTTCTACTGAGACACTGTTCTGAGTTCTGACTGCGCCAGATCTCCCTTGTAAAAGGCAAAACCCGGCCGTCCAAGCCATCGCACCCCTCATGAGCCACCACTTGACAGTTTCACAACTTCGGAAACTGTTGGAGGAAATCAGTCCTCTAGGCTGACATGGCCCAGGTGTGCCTCACTTCACATGATAGAGAATCTTGGTTCTGCCTCAGGATGTTCTTTCCCTAATACACAGCCTCAGTTCCCAGGCATCCCCCAAGTCTCCCCCCCCACCCTCGCCCTGTTGTCACTGCATCTCTTCTCCAGGTACCCATAGGCCTGACTCCCAGGGCCCCTCGCTTGCCCCAGTCACCTCCCAGTGACACACTGCATTTCAAGGTAGGCCAGAGGCAGTGTGGGTCTTACCCATTTCAAGGTACTCATCGAACAACCCCTCACAAGGCAGCAAATCATAGTCAGCCTCCCAAGGTGCTGGGTGGGCCCCCTTGCCAGCCTTCCTTCTCCTGGAGTACAACTTCTGCCAGCAACCCTTCAGCTTTCTGCAGGCAGAAAGTGGGAGATGGCATGATGGCTGAGCTGTTCTGAGAGGACATGCACCCCGGACGGGCTGTTGCTCTCAGGCGAGGTTGGGCAGGATAGGGGGTGTAGTTCTTGCAGGTCAGACTCATCCAAGGCCCTGGGCCCCCTCTATGGGACATGATGCAATTTGCCCTTCTGGTTCCCTGTTGTGTCCTCAAGAAAGTCAACCTGGCTCCCTGGAGCCTTTGGAGGGTGGGACCATAGCAAGGCTAGGAAGGAGCTAGTGAGGGTACGAGCTGAGTCCCATGAGAGCAGAGGCCACGGGGCCAGGTATGTTGACTTCATCATACTGGGGCCACCTGCATGTGGCTGCATCAGTCCCGTGTGGGTGTGGCTTTGTCGGAGGCTGTGAGGGATCGTGCGTAGAGCACATGTGTTGCTTATCAGATTACATGGGGGCACAGGTGTCTCTTGGCTTCCTCACACGACCTGCACGGGCTCTAGCACTCTTCACCCTGTACTTCCTCGTCCCACTGAATGCCAGGGACGTCAGGGTGCTTCCAGAGAGGAGCTGCTATGGTTGTAGCATCAGGGCAAACACTGCCTTTTGGAGGTTGGTATGGCCTCAGGCAGGAGATTATCCCTGAGCAGAATCTTTGGAGGACTCCAGCCTGTGCAGGAGGCCACAGTTGCAGCTAGTCCCTAGGGATAGGGATAGGGAGCTGGTCCCTAACAAGGGAACCTGAAACAGGCATGAATCTAGGAATCAAGCCTGAGGCCCAAGGCCTCCCCTTTGCTTCTCCTTCTCATGTTGGTTGCCAGTGGAAGGAAATAACGTGCTGGCCTATGTGGCCTCCTGCTGAGGAACCCAGGCTTCCCCTGACAGAGCTTTCAAGAGGCAGCGTTGGTGACAGGCTCTTCAACACCCCAACCATAACAACAGATGGAAGAGGCTGTTGTGAAGCTCACAATGTGACAGGGAGGTCCAGAGGTATGGCAGGCCCTGCCTCCTCTTTATTCCCCTGGCTCTCTGAGGAAGCCCTGGTCCCTAGAAGCTTCCAGGGCAGGGTGGAGGTGACTTACGGAATGAGGATCTCCTGCACGTTGTTGATAACCTGCTTGCCCACCATGATGACCAGGAGCTCCTGTGCCAGCTCAATGAGGCAGCCTCCAGCAGCACACTGCAGCAGTACAGCTTCAGGTTAGCTGCAGGGAGGGACCAGGCACACACATGCCTAGCTTTCTTTTTGCCTCAAAGGTGGCTTCTCTACCCCCACCTCCCATAGGACGTGCCTGGAGCACCTTGAAAATTGCAGAGATCTGTCTTCCCTTTCCACCTCACTTCTGTTGTGTACGGGGACAACCACTAAGCAGCTGTAGTTTGTGCCCTATGGTTCCTCAGCCAACAGTAGCCTCAGGCTCCAGGGAAGACCCAAGATGTGGTCAGTAAAGAATCAGACCCAAGGAGTTTCTAGGAATGTGTGCCATGCCCGGGAAGTTCAGTCACACTGTGGGATGCCATCCTCACGGGCTGGGAAAACCTTGAGAACTCAGCCAGTGCTGAGGGCAGCATCTGGATCCAGCTGCTCTTGAACCACAGAGTCTCCAGTGACTTCAGCACAAGGGCAAGTGGTAGCCCTTTTCTCACTTAAGCCAGTCTGTACTGGGCACTAAGGGTTGAGAGCTATGTAATATGGCACAGCAGCCACAGCCATGCCCCTGAGGTAGGGACCCAGATGCTCTGCTCTGCCTCTCCCCACACAATTCCTTCCCCTTAATGTAAAGGTGGACAGTTTCCCTTAGGGAGGTGAGCCACCTTGCAGTAAGAAGGCCCAGGCCCTGGGAAGATGCCTGTTCTTCCTCCTCCAAAAAGAGAAGGGTCTTTTGCATCCAGTGCTCAGAAATGGCTGCAGAACCCTATGTCCTCCGAGTCCACTCCACAGCCACCAGTGGACAGGTCCAGATGTCCCCACCACACTGCCTGTACCTCTGATTAATCCTGCTTGGCCCTCAGCTAACAAGGCTGGAAGAGGAGAGAGACATTATTTGGGTGTCTGGGCAACATAGGGTCCACTCCTTACTCCTCCTTGGTATTTATGCTTTGGTGTCTTGAAGCTCTTGTCACCTCCAGAGATGAGCTACATGCCAGCCTCTGCAAAGACCACTGCTCATCTGAGAAGCCAGGCTCTCCTGATTCCCAGAGTCCCCAGGTCCCAAAGGCAAGCAGAGCACACTGGTGCAAAGACCCCTGCTCATCTGAGAAGCCAGGCTCTCCTGATTCGCAGAGTCCCCAGGTCCCAAAGGCAAGCAGAGCACACTGGTGCAAAGACCCCTGCTCATCTGAGAAGCCAGGCTCTCCTGATTCCCAGAGTCCCCAGGTCCCAAAGGCAAGCAGAGCACACAGGTGCTAGTGGAAGAGGACAGCCATGGGAGAAGCCCAGACAATGAGGCTGTGGGGCACTGGCTCAGTGTGCTCCTAGCCAGCAGGACCTTGGCAGTGCTGTGGCTCACAGGGGATGGGCACCCTAAGGACACAGTAGCTGTAAATCGGGACCTGAGGCTGATGTGGTCAAGAGTCCTGGAGTCCTGGAAGCAGCTGTAAAGCCTGGCCTCTGCTTTACAATGGTGGAAGGTGGGCACCAAGCATGGCATCAAATTAAGGCCTCAGTGGGTACAGAGGGAGTCTAGCCTCCGCTCCCTGGCTGGGTGTGTCCAACACACTCACCTCTTCATTTCGGACTCCAAACAAGGTGTGGTAGTTGCCTGGGTATCCCACAAACCTGGCAGGATCCAAGTTGTGAGGCTGTGAGAGACTAGATTCTGAGTGTCATCTCTGTCCTCCCACCCTGAGGCCTGGCCTGGGGGAAGCACAGACTTGACCCCTTGTACCCTCTGAGCCCATGAAATCACTCTTGCTCAGTCCTTTTCCCTGGCTACCTATCTCCACCTACTACTGAGCACACCAGACAGGGAAAGGTGACAAGTCAAGAGGGTGACCACCTACCTGCCCTTGAAGAAGGCAATGTACACAGGCGAGGCGTAGAAGTTGACAAACTGAAAGATGAACACCTTGAAGGTGAAGGCATCCTCGAATTCAGTCTGTGTCCGGTGCATCTCTGTGCATATGGGGCTTTCACTCAGTCCCCAGGTATGCTGGCCAGTCTCCAGTGCACTGCCCCTTCCCATGAGACCACACCACCATCCAGGGTGAAGAAGAAGCCATATTGCCCAGGTATTTTTAAGAAATTCATTAAAGGAGGGGGGTCAACATATAGCAGTCCTAAATGTCTAATTTCTAAATTTCTCTCAAACATGTTGATTAAGGCGGTAGTAAACCTTGATTGTCTACTTGACTAGGTTAAATTAGATTGTCTGGTCGCCAGGTGTTGGTGGTGCATGCTTTTAATCCCAGAACTTGGGAGGCAGAGGCAGGCAGATCTCTGTGAGTTCGAGACCAGCCTGGTCTACAGAGCAAGTGCCAGGACAGTCTCCAAAGCCACAGAGAAACCCTGTCCCGAAAAACCAAAAAAAAAAAAAAAAAAAAAAAAAAAAAAAAAAAAAAAAGATTGTCTGTCCCTGAGGTTGTTTCCAGAGTATTAGCTCATGAGGGCTCTAACCTTATCAGTAGATCAATATTATTAATCAGATGGATCAATAATATGCTGATAGTGTTATTGTGAATTGGTGGAAGTTGGGACCTGTGTGGAAAAGCAGGTGTCCTTGGGTCTGTGTTCCACCTGATCCTGTCCTGTATCCCCCTCCTTGCTTCTTGGGTACCACACCCTCCCTGCTGTCATTGGTGGACTGTCACCTCTGAAACTGTTCAGGAATACATAATTCCTCCGTTAAGTCATTCTGTCTGGTATTTTGGTCACAGTGGCAACAAAGATAACTAATACAATTAGGAGTATTAGGAATCACTGACCAACCTCCCCCCAAAAAACCCACTGAAATTAAACATTTGCACCCTCATTAAAAGAGTGTTACAGGATCAGTGAGGTGGTTCAGTGACTAAAGGTGCTTGCTGCCAAGCCTGACGACCCGAGTTCTGTCCCCGTAGCTCCCCTGGAAGGAGAGCACTATTGTGCTGTAAGCACACACAAGCCATGACACGTGAGCACACATACACATACATTAAATAAACGTAAGAATATTTAAAAGTGTGTATCGATAAGGTTGGGGGATGCCCAAGGACAAAATAGTTTCTGCTCAAGGCTGAATGAGGGCTGAACCATAGTGCAAAAATTTGCCAAGGCCAATGTGGGAACCTAAAAGGTCAGTTGGAGGACAAGGGGACCCAGTGTCACACAATTATGGGAACACCCACACCAGCTCCTGCTCATTCTTCTTGGAACACCGCTACCTGTGTCCCCTTCCAGGTAAAAACTCCCCTGGCACCTGCCTAGAGACCTCCCTTACACTGCAACCCCTTTCCGTCCTGACCTTTGTGCCCTGAGTTTGCTCTGTCCCCTCCCCTCGGGGCCTTGGCCAGAGCTGGTATAGACAAGGCCTTGTGGATGAGTGGTTAGGCTTCTTAGCATTTGCTCCTAGGGAAAGTTGAAGGCAGAAACAGAAATAGAAGTGGAGAAGAGGAGCAGAGGGAGAGGCATCTTGCTCCTGGGACAGGGACAGAGGATGTGTGGAGACTTGGTAACCATTTGGAGTGGTCGAGCTGGTGAGAGCTAAGCCCCCACCCCTAGTCCGTCTAATGGAGGTCCCTATCCTTGTTCTAGAGAACTCCACAAGCTTGAGGGATCTTGTGAGGAAGGCAGGAGAAGCAGGGACAGGGCTGAGTGCTCTTCCTCTCCTCTCCCTGAGGCCCTCCCTGCTCATGCATTTTAAGGAGACACCTCTCTGGGGATATGGGTCCATGACAGCCGACCCATGCTTGTATCTGTTTGGTCAGTACTCACCCCATCTTGTTAGGACCTGGGCCAGGACCACATAGACCTTGGAGAGGATGATGATGAAGACAAGGTTCACCACTGACCCTGAGAGGCTGGCAATCCGTGGAGCCTGATAGGGAACAGCTGATCAGAGCAGGCACAGGAGCAGGGCCGGAAGCCGCAAGGAGAACCGGCAGCAGAGACTCACCCAGGCCGAGAGGAAGGCATTGTCGGACTTGGACACAATTACAGCCATGATGGCTCGGTACAGGATGATAGACACAAGGCACATAATCACCACCGCCACCTACAGGACCAGAGAAGTCCTGAGTCCCCTGCCATGGGCCCAGCACCCACACCTTCAGGCCGTAGGCTAGCACAGGCTTCTGGGTCCATAGCAGCTCCACAGGTTCCTTTTCCAGGGGCTCCCATCTGCAACCTGCCTGTGTCCCCTGGGTTCTGCAGAGGTGGGGCAGGCTAGGACTGGGAGGTCAGGATGCCAGATAGCTACTGTATGCTGTCCTTACACCTAGTGCTGGAGAACTGTGCCCCACTCACCCACCTCTTTACAGCCCTAAATTGGGGTCCATAGTACCTGGAAAGGGTGGGGGTCCTTTTCAGCAGTCTTTGGCTAGAAGGTACCAAAGGGATTAGTGTGCCTCCCTTGTTTAATGGGGGCCCCAGGTCACATAGGGAGAAGCTCTTCCAGAGCCCCTCATGGCACATACACATACACACCCCGTATGAAAACCTATCACTTGGCCCTGGGCTAAGGTCCTTCCTTCCCTGAGGCACAAAGCACAGGGCCTTTCTGGAGGGCAGTGAGGGTCTTATGTCTGGAGGAGATAGCAAGAGTGGAATGGCCCCTGTGGCTCAGGAAGACAGACACAGAAGAGAAAGGCAGGGTGGCAGGATCCCTCCCACCCCCACCCCCTCACCATCATCATGAGAACCACAGAGCCAGCCAGAATGCGGTGTACACGGCGCTTCTCAGGAAAGTAGGGCTCATCTTCCCCAGTGATGGGGTTCAGGGCTGTCATAGGAGCCATTGCTGCAAACTGGGGCCGAGGCCTCTCCTGAAAGGGAACCATGCTCAGTAGGGTGTGAGTAACTCCTGCCAGAAGCCACCCATCCCAGCTCACTTACCTCAATGTCCTCATAGTCAGAGCAGTCCCAGCGGTAGGCCAAGGTGGCATTTTTCCGCTTCCAGTACTCCAGAAGCAGCACCGCCCACAGCGCCATGAACAAACTGAAGAAAACAGTGCCACCGTGGTCAAAGAGCCGCCCAGCCTGGAGGGGAGAAGGGGACTCCAAGTCTTCCCAAGGACAGGCGGTGCTTTCACAGGCCCAGTTCTGCTGGACCTGAGCATCTCCCCACACAGGCCCACCATGGTGCCCCAGACCCACAAAGAGAAGGTTCTGAGTCAAATGTACGTGGTTTCACCCAGTCTCGTGAACATTTTCTTCTTTTTTTTTTTTTTTTTGAGGGGGGGGCGGTTTTCAAGATAGAATTTCTCTGTGTAATAGCCCTAGCTGTCCTGGAACTCACTCTGTAGACTATGCATGGTTCTGGCTTGGTTCTGCCAGTGCCTAAGAGCTTCTGGAACTGCCTTAGCCAGAAGACCTGGGGGCAGGTTCCCAGGTGATTACTTGGTTAGCCTTTTGTGCTGGTTAGTTTCTGTGTGTTTGCTTTTGTCACCTTGACACAAGCTAGGGTTATCTGGGAAGAGAGAGCTTCAAATGAGAAAATACTGCCATCAGATTGGCCTGTAGGGAAGTATGTGGCATGCTTTCTTGATTAACAGTTAAATGAGAGAGGCCAGTGAGCAGCGCCACCCCTGGGCTGGTGTAAGAAAGGCCCCGGGAAGTATAAGAAAGCAGACTGAGCGTCCATCTGATGAACAAGCCAGTGAGCAGCACTCCTCCATGGCCTCTACCTCAGTTCCTGCCTCCAGGTTCCTGCCCTGAGCTCCTGTCCTGACTTCCCTTCATGATGGGCTGTGATCAGAACGCACAACCCAAATAAACCCTTTCCTCCCCAAGCCGATTTGTTTGTGGTGTTTTATGACAGCAATAGAGAGCAAACTAAGACAGCCATATCTAACATGTATAGCAGTAAAAGCGACTTTGTGACACTCTTGAGAGTCATTGGTGAGACATACCAGACCTAACCTGAATGCCAGGTCAGGGGCAACAGAGTTGACAGAGCTCGCTGAGGGTTCTGACTGCACAGATAGAGCGAGCCAGGACCTACAGGAGCTGCCAGTCCTCAACACCCTGACCCCAGCTCTCACTCCGTACCTGGGCCAGGGTGCAGGCACTGGAAAGCAGCCAAAAAGAGCAGTCAGAGCAGAGTGGACACATGTCAAAGCCATCCGAACTGTGGCACAGCTCCTGCCTGTGGGGTATAGATGTGGTTCCAGGCACCGAAGGCAGCAGCGCCTGCAAGTCAGCCCCATTCCTCGCCTTGACCCCATCACTGCTCTCCCAGCCCTGGAATTCTCAGTAGTTGTTTTATTTTGGGGGACACAGTCTCATGTATCCCAGGCTGGTCTTGAACTTGCTATGCAGCTGAGGGTTCCTTGAGGCTCACATCTCCATCTCCTGAGTCCCAGGACTGCAGGTGTGCTGCAGCACATCTCGTTTATGAAGAGACCAAAGCCAAGGCCTCATGGCCTCATGCGCTGCAGCACATCTCGTTTATGAAGAGACCAAAGCCAAGGCCTCATGCATGCTAGGTGGCCTCATGCATGCTAGGTGGCCTCATGCATGCTAGGTGGGCACTGTATCAATTTAGCCACATCCCCAACCCCAGAATTTCTTTCAAAAGCAGTTGTTTTTGAAAATACACAATAATAATAAAGGTAACTTTTTGGACTTCCAGCTACACAATAAAGTAAAACACAAAGCCAGTCATTTATTATAGGGAAAGCTCAAACTATTCTAAGGACAAAAGGTTGAGTGTCCATACCAGCCTGGGGACACCCCTAACAACCTGTCATCCGGTGTCATGAGTCACAGGAAGCCTTGGGAGCTAAGGCAAGGGACACTTACGTTGGTATGTCTGAGAACACTAGGAAACATCCCACCAGGAACACCACTGTGCCCACCACGGCTGCAGGCAGGAGCCAGCCGGTGTAAAACCCTGTGGACGGGAAACCCAGAGTCCAGTGGTTAGAAATTGGGTGTGCCCTAGGGGTGAATTTGCTTTATGGGACGCAGGCTTAGCTCAGAGGGAACTAGACCCTCTGGAAGGATATTGAGAGGCATGGGAGGCTCCTCTGGCCACTGCCCTTGACTCTGAGCATCTCCCCTCAACTCAAGACTCTCACCATGTTGGCTTAGTAGCAGTGTCCCCTTGACTCCATCCCACTGGGTGCTTTTTGTTTGTTTTTATTTTTTGAGACAGGGTTTCTCTCTGTAGCCTTGGCTTTCCTGAAACTCGCTTTGTAGACCAGGCTGGCCTTGAACTCGCAGGGATCCACCTGCCTCTGCCTCCCAAGTGCTGGGATTAAAGGTGTGTGCCACCACTGCCCGGCCCCACTGGGTGCTTTATCTCCTGATTTTGTTCCCACCCCCACTGCTCCCCTGGTGTCTTTCTGAGAGACACGGGATGCATTGCAGCTTGAACCCCAGTGGAGGTGTGGTTCATTCTGGACCCACCTCTACCCCGACCCCCCACAAGGGTATCATCTCAATGGACCACAACCAGTCCCCCGGGGTGCCCCACATCCATCAAATGCTCATCTACTTGCTTCCTGTGGGGTTAGCCTGATCTCTGCTGACCCTGTAAGGCCGGGAAGACACCTACAAAATGTCCTCTGTCTGGAGCCTAGATGAAGAGTCCTTCCCTGCCCCCGGAAGTCCTCCAGCAGAGCCATACTGGGCAGCTGGAAAGGCAAATCCCAGGATGGGGAAGCAGGGTCTGAAGGCAGACCCCAGGGAGGGCGACTTGTCTCTAAGGTGCCAGCCTGACTGAGGCCAGCAGAGAATGGCTTGGAGTAGACTCTCCCATAGTGATGTCTTTTCTCTCAGGGTAGACATTCCTGAGGAAGCTTCCCAAAAAGGAATGGATGCTAGTTGGGGTCAAAAAAACCCCACAAACTAAGGGACTCGAGTGCAATGCCTAGTGTTGTTCTGGGATATCTGTACACTGTGTGAAGATGTATTGCTGTGGTTGGTGTAATAAAAAGCTGAATGGCCAATAACTAGGCAGGAGGTGTAACTCTGGGAAGAAGAAGGCAAAGTCACCAGCCAGACCCAGAGGAAGCAAAGTGGATAGTACAGATAGGTAAGGTAACAAGCCACGTGACAGGACGTAGATGGAAATAAATGGGTTAAGTTATAAGAGCTAGGGGCTGGAGAGATGGCTCAGTGGTTAAGAACACTGGCTTCTCTTCCAGAGGACCGGGGTTCAATTCCCAGCACCCCCATGACAGCTCACAACTGTCTGTAACTCCTGTTCCAGGGGATCCAACACCCTCACACAGACATGCATGTGGGCAAAACACAACTGTACATAAAATACACATCAATTATTTTTTTAAAGTTATAAGAGCTAGTGGGATAAGCCCAAGCTAAGGCTGAACTTTCTTTTTTTTAAGTATTTATTTATTTATTTATTTATTTATTATGTATACAAATTCTGCTTCCATGTATCCCTGCACACCAGAGCTCATTACAGATGATTGTGAGCCACTATGTGGTTGCTGGGAATTGAACTCAGGACCTCTGGAAGAGCAGTCAGTGCTCTTAACCTCTGAGCCATCTCTCCAGCCCAAGGCTGAGCTTTCATAATAATAATTAAGTCTCCATGTCATTATTTGTGACACTGTGTAGAAAAATATCCGTCTACACAGTGTCTGTTTTATTATTGGGGAATAGGGTCTGGCAGTAGAATTATCCCAGAGGGTAGACTGTCACAACACAAAGACCAAACAGAAAGACAAGACTCACCAAGCCAGGCGAAGTAGAGCGCCACCTTCTCCCCGAAGTACTGACGCACGTGATCCAGTGGCTGGTACTTGTTCCATTTGCCCCAGCGAGCCCAGTGCTGGAGTAAGACTTGGCGCTGGGTGAGCCCCAGGACCTGGGAGTTCTCTGGGACTGCAGAGAGTGGGCCCTGGGAATAAGAGGCCATTGAGCTGGGCTTCTGCTCGCTAATTGTCCCCGCCCTACACGCCCCAGGGCACTTCTAGGAATGGGGACTTCAGTGCTGGCCCAGACCCACAATTCCACCCTCCAGTGCAGGCAACACAATCACACTGGGGGATGTCAAGAAGGGTCTGAAAAGAAATACAGGTTGACTCCCCTTGACTCCTTGGACTGCTGAGTGTCCAGGGCAGAGGATGAATCTGAAAGAGTTGGCCAGGCCAGTAACTGGGGTGCAGGTTGACCAACAGTGCTGTGGGATTGTCCAGGTCTGACACATATACTGTGTGGTACCCGAGCTATGAGCTACTCCTCATACACCCCAGCTCAGCTAACAGCCAGCATGAAGAGTAATGCCACTGCAAGATGTGTGTGTGTGTGTGTGTGTGTGTGTGTGTGTGTGTGTGTGTGTATGTGTGTTTGTGTGTGTGTGTGTGTGTGTGTATATATAAATGTGTATGTGTGTGTGTGTGGGGGGGCTGCCTGACATTTCTACGCCCACTTTGTGATCTTCATGATATCAACAGGAAGGTCCCCATGGCTTCATGGGCATGCATGACTCAAGACCTTTTGAAATTGCTCTTTAGGCATTCCCTGTATGGTAGAAGGCTGCAGAAAAGCTGGGATGTGAATATCTGCCTGACCTACACATGGGCTGCATAAGAACGGTAGTATGGGGGTCAGAGCAGCTCCAGGCAGCTATTATAGTGACTCTGCCCCAGGCTGCCCAGCTTCTAGGTAGGGTGAAGCGTGCCGGAGACCTTCCTGTCTTTCTTAGTGAGAGATGCTAAGGTTTTTCACTGCCTGAGAAACCCAGTCTTAGTATCTGAGCCTGGTATATTTGCCAGGGACCCCGAGCAAGGGCAGGAAACCAAGCTGAACCTTCGGCCTCAACCTGACTACTTCACATTAGAAGGCTATGCATGTAGTATTCCTGACCCCAGGGTGACTGTCACAGAGGGCAAGGCTCCTTTGCTTCCTGTGGGCAAGGCAGGAAAAAGCACTGGGGGAACTCACAGTCCACCCTGGTTCAACCCCCAGCCCCCAGACTCACGTCATGCAGGGGGAAGGCTGCACTGAAGACACCTTCTGCCAGCAGCTGGTCAATCCCAAACAAGCCTTTCTTCTTGTGGCCATATCGAGTCTTGGCCAGGATCTCAAATAGCTGTGGGATGGGTGGAGGATAGCGCCTATCACTGGTCACGTGACAACAGCATAGTAGGGAGACCATTCTTTGTGCTGAAATCTTGTATGAGCTCTTAAGGTCTCAGTGACAGATAGTGATACTGATGGAGTGTCCTCAAGGCCTTGAAACCCGGTCCTATGTTACAGTCACATATTCATGACCACACTGGTAGGGACAATAGTCATTCTTCCATCTTATAAATTCAGAAGCCTTTAGTCACATGGCTCTTTAGAGTCCAGCCTGGGTTGGAACCTGGGCCTAGTCATGCATGACTTGCCTGAATCCCTGTTCCAGTAGAATCAGCTCTGTTAGGATACCTGTCTGGGGTGGGAAACCTCTGCCTTGGTGGCCACTGTAGCAGTGTCCTTTGGTCATCATAAGTGTGTGATTCAGGCCTATCTAGGTCCTCCTGGCTACATGCTGTTGGAATATACCTCCTAATGCAGTGGTTCTCAACCTTCCTAATGTTGCGACCCTTTAATACAGTTCCCTCTGTTGTGGTGACCCCCAACCATAAAATTACTTTCATTGCTACTTCCTAATTGTAATTTTACTACTGCTATGAATTATAATGTAAATAGTTGTGTTCACTCTCAAAGGGGTCGAGTCACATAGGTTGAGAAACACCTAGTGCCTCAGATCAGTCCCTGTAGCCTATTTTTGACAGATTAGCTTAGGGTATACTGAGACTGCTTCCTTGTCTGTTCTGGCCAGCTAAGAGGATCACCTCACCCAGGCCTGGTACCTTGGCTGTCTGTCCCAGAGGTCCTGGGCCCCAGATTGTGGAGGGGTACTGGATAGAGAGCTGGCTTTCACTTGACTCAGTGCTATCTGGACATGCTCCATCCCACTGTCCTGCCTGCAGACCATATCCACCCTCTATACAGCAAGATCAGGGACAGTCCCTAAGGCTTCCGCCCTCTGGCCATAGGGAGTTTATGGTGGCCATGAAGACCTCAGGGTTGGGATCTAGTCAGATTAGGGTCTGCAGCAGACACGCTCCACTCACAATTTGGTGCCTCTTGGTACTGGTGAAGAAGGTGTCCTGGTTGTCACTCCCAAGGAACCTGCAGAAGTGACAAAAGTTTAGAGATTTGAGAGTATGGGGGTTTTTGCCACACATGCATAAGTAAAGGCAGGGCAGACATGGCGGAGAAGACTGTCTGCACACAGAGGCCAAGGAGGACAACCGCTATGCCAGATAAACTCAGTTCTCATTTTTGCCTTTTCTTTTCTTCAGACAGGAGGCCACAACAGATGCTATACACCACACACATAAGGCAGGGGAAAAGTAGACAGTTCATATAGAAGACAAGGTCCCGAGCAAAATGTTAGACCCACTAAGAAGCCTTTAGCTTGCCTGCCTTTAGTCTTTGTAAACAAGGACTAAATGTAAATAGTTGTGTTCACTCTCAAAGGGGTCGAGTCACATAGGTTGAGAAACACCTAGTGCCTCAGATCAGTCCCTGTAGCCTATTTTTGACAGATTAGCTTAGGGTATACTGAGACTGCTTCCTTGTCTGTTCTGGCCAGCTAAGAGGATCACATCACCCAGGCCTGGTACCTTGGCTGTGAGCACAGGAGGAGGGGGTCAGGGGTCAAAAAAATCCTGGATGCTTCCTTAGTGGAGGCAACAATGACTGAGGATAGGTCTAATCTTTGTGTGGTCACACAATTGCTCTGTCCAGTAATGAATGTGAGGAGACTCCTGGAGTGCGCAAGGACGGCTGTCCACATCCGTGTTGTTTCCCTCACCAGGCAGGGAAGGTGTAACGAGGAGTCCCCTAACCCAGGACACTGGAACAGAGCAAGAAATGGACGACTGTGGTCTGAGTGTGTCTCACTAAAGTTCATGGACTGTGCAATGGAACCTTTAAGAGTGGGGTCAAGCTAGGCATGGTGGTGGCGTACGCCTTTAACCCCAGCCCTTGGGAGTCAGAAGCAAGTGGATCTCTGTGAGTTCAAGGCCAACCTGGTCTATAGAGCCAGTTCCAGGAAAGCCAGAGTTACATAGTGAGACTCTGAATTAAAAAACAAAAAAACAAAAAACAAAAAACTGGGGGCAGGGCAAAGGCATGAGGCCACGTGGGTTTCACTCTTAGAAGGGACTAATTCTGGTTTGTCTCAGGAGAGATTCAGTGGTTAGAGGAAGCCAGACAACTCTCATTCTAGCTCCCATCCCATCTCACCTGTGCTGTGCTGTAGCTGCTATGTCTAGCCAGAGGCTGACCAGCTGGAGCCGCCAATACTGAACTTTCAGCGGCCAAATGTGCAAGCTAAATGAAGCTAATGTGCAGTGAAAAATAGGCCGGCAATAATCACTGCATCTCAAGCCCCATTTCCTGTTTTTCCTCTCTCTCTCTCTCTCTCTCTCTCTCTCTCTCTGTGTGTGTATGTACATATATATACATACCTTGTATATATGACATGTGTGCACATCCCACAGTGCGTGTATAAGGTCCCAGGACCCAGGGACTCGTTGAGGCAGGGTGTCCCTAGTTTCTGCTGCACTGTACACTCCAGGCTACCTGGCCTGTGAGCTTCAGGGCAATGCTCACCATAGGAGTTCTGGGATTACAGATGTCCGTCATCATTTCTGGCTTTTGGGTGGATTCCAGGGGTTGAACTCAGGTCGTCAGGCTTGCATGACAAGTATTTTGACTTGTGAAGCCATTTCACTGCCTCTAACTTCTCTCAACAGAGTACCCATCTTTGGGCATTTTGTTCTAGTAACAGAAATGGATTGTGACCTGGGCCTTGTGCATCCATTCCTAGGACTCGGGCGGGGCATGCTTGTCTCACCCTGTCCTGACTAATGCAGGTGGCTTACCAACACACAGCTGTTCGCCAGGCTTGTTCACATGGGATTCAGATGGTGTTCTCTGAAAATCCCAGGTGAGGAGAGCATTTGAGAGAAAGCATGGTGTTGAGTTAGTTCACTCACAGCCTCGTTCCCGTGTCATCCTGACACTCACAGCCTTGTTCCCGTGTCATCCTGACACTCACAGCCTCGTTCACGCATCCATCCTATTCATACATAGTCTTATTTCTGCATCCACTCTATTCATTCAGTCTCGTTCACGCATCCCTCCGAGTTCTTATTGCAGCTGCTCCCACAGGAGGCTGTCCTACTGAGTTCAAGGGGCTTCCATGCCATACCACTGCAGCTTGCTTGCTCTGAACTGGCAGGAGTAGTACTCGGGAGGCGTGTCCGGCACGTGCTCCAGCATGATATTGGGGATGCCCAGCCACTCCAGAAGGGTGGCTGACCAGTTGGAGGCCTGGTTGGGTAATTCCTGGAAAGAAAATTGTTCAGAGGGCAGTCTCCACAGCTGGGGAGGAGGGAACCTGGCCAAATGTGCAAATGGGACTCCAGTCAAAAGGCCTCATCTGAGAAAAATAGCATCTCTTATTCTTGGCCCTACTGCAGACCCTCTCGGGGTCTTGGGCTCTGAGAGTTGCTTGACTTGTTAAAGTGAGGACCAGAGCTGTTTGTGCCACTAGAGAATGAAAGACGAGAACACTGTGTCTCTGTCCATCCCAGCACCATGCTGGTGAAACCCACTATGAGCAGTTCAGGCATATCATCCCGGGGCACAGAGAGGCTGCCGTCCTGAGCACCCAAGGCTGGCGCTGTCTCAACACATAGTCCTGCAGGGAACTCAGCATCTTACAGCCTCTGCTCTCCTCCATACTGCCAGGCTTTTAAATTCATGCGTTTGTCATGCAGGGTATTATCCCCTGTTCACGCAGTGGGTGTTTTGAGGTTCCATGTGACAGCGGATAGGAGGGAAACTAGAGACCCCCAAATGGGACACATCCAAGGAGTGGTGGTTTTGGCAGCTGAGCCCAGTACATAGGCATCAATCAAATGCAGAGCTGGGTGGGGACCCCATCTTCTCCCTTGGCCCCCACACCCCCATACCTGCAGGGGCAGCTTCAGCCGCAGGTCTTCTGCATAGTAGCACAGTACAGCCCAGGGTGCTCTGAGGAGGACGTAGTGAACTGCAGTGGCCTCGTCCTGGACATCACGCTGCAGGCACCAGGGGCTTCTGTGAGGGTCTGAAGGTGTTGCTATGTGCTCTGTGTCTATTCACACTTGGGAGAGGACTAACAGTGACATAGCCCTGGTGCTGATGGACAGCCAATGGCTGGGCACCCTCTCAGTGGGAATGCTCACTTCCAAGGCCTATCTCAGAAAGCTTGCGGTGACAGCGTCTCTTCCACAGAGACCTCGCACCTGGGGCCCATGCCACCTGCATTCTCTTCTGTGGTAATGACAACCAACGTGATCCTTCTTCAAGGTCTGGGGACCCATGCATGGCTTCTGCCATGCTGACCTAGATCATCTTTTGGTAAAGGGGCAGCAAATGCAGCTTTGCATGCCAGGCCCGCCCAGTCTGTCTGTCTGTCTGTCTGTCTGTCTGTCTGTCTGACTACAGATAAGGATGTAGCTCTTAGCTACTTCTCTGGCACCACACATGCCCATCACCATGCTCCCTGCCATCATGATGATGGACTAACCCTCTGAAGCTGTAAACAAGCCCCCAGTTAAACTTGGTCCTTGTGTCTCTTCACAGCAACAGGACAGTGACTAAGACACAGACAAAAGTAGCTCTTTCAGTCAGTTAAAACAAACAAAACTCATATCAATAGTGACACACATAGCCCGGCGGTGGTGGTGCATGCCTTTAATCTCAGCACTCAGGAGGCAAAGGCAGGTGGATCTCTGTGAGTTAGAGGCCAGCCTGGTATACAGAGCGAGTTCCAGGACAGTCTCCAAAGC